TATAGTGATTTCTATTTAATGTGATATAATTGTTGGATTAATCTTTATTGTAATATAGCTATTGCATTGAATTGAGCTTGAATGTGTTAGAACTACTGGTTTGCAACCTACTCGAACTATATTTAAAAGATATTTAAACTTTATTCAAGCTATATTCAATCCAAATTTGGCTCATGAATGCCTAGTTCAAATAGGGTTCCTATCTCTACTTGAACAGCATTCAAACATGATTTGAACAAGGTTCAAATAAAATTCTAACCTTGCACGAATATAGTTGCATCCATGTTCAATAAGGTTTAAACCTTTTATGTATATGGTTGGAACCTTTGTTATTTGAGTTGCACTTCAAATAGGTAATTCTTGGGTATGCCCAATGTTTGTTTTCTTAAAGAAATATACCAAAAAGTTTATTTGGATAAAATACACCCACTTTTATTTGAAAATTACTTATTTGAAGTTAACATTAAATGACATAATTGAGTAGGGTTTCATTGAGCTTCAAATAGAATTTGAATCATGTTTCAATAAGGTTTGAAAATTGTTTGCTTATAGTAAATACACATTAGTACAATCCAACATCTTTAATAGAGCATAATACAATATTCATACAAAAGAGTGCAATCACAATAGCTATACCATACAAATTATAAGGTGGATATAAAATAGTGTAATCCATGAGCTATAACATAATAAAGAGCTATCACAATAAGTATGACACAATAGATTATGAGATAGATACAATTGACTACAAATCAATAGTTATAACACAACACAATGACAATTATTACATCTTCATATAATCAATTAGCGACACTACTTCAAGAATTACATTAAATTTAAATAGTTACAGTTTTCTTACAATAAACGAAGAGTAAAGTAGAATTTGTTTTGAAGGTGATGGACACTTGGCCTTGCAAGCAGCTCTATTATGAGCACTCATTCCACATTGGTTGTACTTATGTTGCACCGCATTTATCTCCTCTTTTGAAGGCCTTCTATTTTTTCATGGACAACTAATTTTGCTTTACCAATGGGTATATATAAGGTGACAACTATTTATTTTGTTGGGAAATTCCTAGTTGTCTTCATTTTTTTATTGGATATATATTGAATATCAGCTAATAATTTTCTTATATATAAAATTTTAAACATAAGCTATAATAATTGACACACCAATTCTTACTTGCAACCAACACATGTTATCTAAGTGACCTACAATGACAAAATTTTGAGATGTATGTCTACTCCCATAAATAAACATCATCATTAAGATCACTATCAATGACATGCAGTTCAAATTAACCAATTGGGTATATAATTATACTTTAATCTTTATTCAAGAGCTTTGAAAATAATTCTTGAATTTCATTAAAAAAAACTTTTGTATTTACTATAATGGTGCCTTTATCAAATAGTCATTTTTGTATTGTGTTCCTTTCAAAATTCAATAAAGTAGTCACTGGATAAGAGTGTGCATTATTGGTAGTACTATTGAAAGTCTTTAAAATACTTGTTGTCTCAAAATTATATCAATTTTAGGGAAGAAAACTTTTAGCCCGTTAGTCAAAAGCCAACTGCATTGTCTAGATAAGTAGGTATGCTAAGTTCTAACACATATTTTGTAAAAGTGATTAAAAAACATAATGAATTATAAACGTTAAAAACCAAGTGATATTCATTATGATAACTCTCAATTTTAAACTTCATTGTTGCTTTCTTTGTGAAATGATAAGTGCAAACATCATGATGTGCCTATAAAAATGACTGATAAAATATTGATAATTTTAAAATTTATCATATCTCTATTATTTTTATTAACCCTTATTGTTTGGTCATAAGACACATCCACATGTCAATATTTTTTGAGTTAATTAATGTAAATTTCATTGGATAAATTTAAGTATCGGCATCTTACACTACTGCCACAAAACAATACCTCTTTAACATGTATTTAAAAATATCCCATCAAGAATTAATAATAGGAAACATGCACTTTTGAAGACTTCAACACAACCACATTAAGTGAAGTAAGCATAATTAAAACATCCTCCACTATCAAGCTAAAAATCAATAATTGTTCTTAAAATTTTCTTGGCATCACACACACACACACACACACACATATATATATATATATATATATATATATGACTTTGAATTAATATATAAATTATTGATAATATTTAGACTTTACTTTATTTTTATATTGATAATATTTTATTTTTTAATATATAAATATATTAAAAATTTATATAAGGGCTTCTAAAGTATTTTTTTTCATTTTAAAAATTTTTAACACTCTTAATAAATAATAATTTTTTTATAAAAGTTCATGCAACTTCATTTGTATATTTCAATATTTAAATCATGCTAATGATATGCCTTTAATTTGAAAACTACATGATGCACAAATAAAACTTGAAAAATGACCATTCATGTTTATAGAAAATTATATGAAAATAGGATTTGACTTTATATGCACATAATGCTCAAAACTGTAAAAATTTTTCCTATTCTTCATTTCTTATAGAAATATGCTCAAAAGTTTTTTTAGAACCAAAATACCAACAAAATTCTAAGTATTATCTAAGCAAATTTTTTTAAGCAAGAAGTTGCTCGGCCCTTCATATTATTAGCGCCTTTCTCTTCTCTAGCAAGTTTCATTCCCATCTAATGATTTGTGACAAATCTCTAAGACTGATTTTGCTTACATCTCTCCGGCCAATTGTTCAAGATATGTGTTGTTATATAGTTCGTTATCTATATATGTTGGAAAAATACATCATATTATCAGCTTCACACATTGATTGAAACTTATTCTGATCTTAACCAAATTATGTTTAGGAAGCTTATCTGAATCTTATTTGTATTTTTGAATAAGGTTTGAATAATAATCGGAGAAGGTTCAATCACAATTCGCAAAAAAAAAAAAAAAAAAAAAAAAAAAAAAAAAAAAAAAAAAGAAGTTTGCATATCATTCGATCAATGTTCAGTACTATTAAAATAGGCTTTCGCAGCACTTTTTTTACCCTACAACAATGGTAAAAACACCTATAATATTTTTAGTAGCGGTCTATAAACCGCTGCACATTTGCCGTCGACGGTTGGGGAGGCGGTGGCTGAGGAAGAGGGGGGTCGCGCGTGGAGAAGAGATTGAGAGGTCGGGAGCGGGAGCAGGAGCATGGAGACGTATTGAATAAGCTAGGGCTTATTCCGATTTGCACGTATACACAATGAGTTAGTCTTATTCCCATTTACTAATGCAAAGAAGCAGTTTAAGACCGCTACGATATCCGGGCTATGGCAACGGTAATTAATTTGCTGCTAATGAATGCTACGAAAACCCCACATTTTAAATAGTGGTTGCATTCAATATCTATTTGGGAATTGGCTTATTTGAGTTATTTTGCTATATATGTAGATGTCGCTCCAATTGTATATGTAGAGAGACATTATATTACTTAAGTCATAAAAATTAAAAAAAAATTTACTTAAGTCATATATAGTGCTTGGGCGTAATGGAGAAAATTGTGATGTGCTAGAATATATTGTCATTTTGAATTTTATAAATGTTATGCAATAATATAATGCTTCTCATTTTGATGTTTTATAGCTATTGGAATATATTTTGATGTACCCAATTTTTTTTTTTTTTTTTTATAATCATTATGATTGCACTATTTTGTATTATACTATGTTGTTTAACACGTTCAAATCATATTTGAATATTGTACAAGCCTTCTTCGAATCACATATAAAGCTTATTCGAATCTTATACGAACTTTATCGGAATCCTATTCTAATCATGTTCGAACCTATCTTTTACTCATATTCTCGCTGACCGCCTTCCCCCGAATCATACGGGTGTGATTTGGCGTCGGTGAATAGTGCGTCGCACCGTTCAACTGACGAATGTAGCATGCGATTTGACATTCGGATGGAGCGAATGACGGACGACAAATGAGTGCATGGAGTTCAATTGGAGATGCCCTAAGTGACAACATCCGGACTCACACACACATCGCATATCTATGACTTAAAACTCAAGACCTCTTAGTTGATAGTCAATGCATCCAACTAATAGACCAAAGAGAGCTACGTGATTGATGCGATCTTAATTTAGTAGAACATTACATTGACTGAATAATGAATAACCTTAACTTAATAACAAAAAATCTACCACAAATAGCAAAGCTTTTTATGAAGAAACAAAGCCGTCCATTTACCCACAACGTTCCAGATTTAAAACGCATGATCTAATGAGATATCAGCTCTTAATTATTAAAGTATTAAACAGTTAACCATTTGCAACGGTAAAGCTTTTCAGCTGATTAGATCTTTGAAGAACATGATATCATAATTTTAATTTATATAAAAATTCTATGAAGGAAGACATTATACTGCATCTGAAACTCTCTTACCGTTTTGATTTCGTTTGGAACAGTTTTTTTATTGCTTTTTAAAATAACTTTTAAGCATAAAATTTTTTAGTTAAAATTTTTTTATTAGAATATTGCTTTAAAAAATAGTAAGAAAATTGCCCCAAACAAAACCTTAATCAGTTTAGGCAATGAAAATGTAGAGCAATTTGATTTCAAAATCACCTGATTTTATTTCATAAACATAATTTTGAGGCTTCATTTGGGACGGCTTTTTAACAGCTTCTTAAAACAACTTTCTGGTACAAAAATCTAAAAAACTGTTTTTAAAAGCAGAAAAAAAGCTGTCCCGAGCGAAACCTGAGTGAAGCCAACTCATTCAACGAGTAAAAAGCAGAAAATATATGGCCAAGCAGATGGGTCAGACATGAATACAATATTAAACTGTAATTAAAGCAATGGAACAGACAACTTCCACGATATTTTAACATCTTACACCATTGAGAAGCACAGAGGATGAAGTCAGTTGCACAAAATTCCAATCTTTAACAAGTTGCAAGAACATCAACTTAAAAAAAAAAAAAAAGAAGTGAAATGAACGCATATCACTGTACAAGATAAAAAATCATAAAAAAAACTGAATTAGAAATCAATATAAACCAATTACAACTGCCTTTGAAATGGCAATATCCTGTCACTAATGAAGCCACTAAAGAAATTTTGCTAATTGCTAATACATACACTGGGACCTAAATTAAGCTAAAAATCAGTGCTGCAAAATTGTCAAAAACTTCTTCCATGAAGGCTGTTGTTAATTACATTCAAGCTTTCAATCCCTGGTTTTGTTATACCTGGTCATGGAGCTACTGTTACAATGTACAAGCGAGCCAAACAATCTATCTTCTCGGAAATTATGAACCAGAGAAATTTGGCTCAGATGTTCCTTATTCTTCATATGAACGCATGCAAATCTTCTCAAGTAGCAAAGGCCAGCCCTGCCCAAGTTGTTGGGGATGAAGCTCCATTGCAGCCTGAAAATCTTGCAAAGATATCATGTACTGGTTTCTATGCTCATTATTAACATTCAAAGACTCTACACTATTTTGTACATGGTGGTTTCCTGGCCAAAAACCATTGAAAGCTGGATGTTTTGTTGGTTCGTGCGTTGACCTAGCTCTTGCAAGCTCAACAGAAGACTTTATAAGTCGCTTTAAATAAGTATTCAAAGCATTATTCAGTAAATTGGCACTATCCAACGTCACCCCTATTCCTTGTGCTTCTGCAACTTTTTCCATTAACTTTCTCAATTCTTCTGTATCGCACAGCTCGCCATTATCATAATTACTATTACCACAAGTGGAATTACTAGCTGCAGAAAAAGATCTCCTTGTCCCACTAACACGAGGAGAGCAGAAAGTTGCTCCAACTGGTGGACGAGGAGGTCTTCTAGTGGAATTGAGATCATGGCTTTCTTTTAACTTTTTCTCATCTTCCAATGCAAGAGTTTTGACCAGTACCTTTCTACGCAAGGAGATTTGATCAGGAAGCAATGAATTCCCTTTGCGTGGAATCTTTATTTGCTGCTCTGCAAGTCCACTTTGATAATGCTGCACTTGATTCTTCCAATCACAGGGACCCAATATGCCATTTTCTTTGATTAAAGTTTCAGCGGATGGTACAAAAGGATGTTCGGCCCTTATGGTGGAATTGAGATCATTGCTTTCTTTTAACTTTTCACCATCTTCCATGGCAACAGATTTGATCAAGCCCTTTTGATGCAAGGAAATTTGATCATGAAGCAATGAATTCTCCAGGCGTGGAAGCTTTGCTGGCTGCTCTTCAAGTCCACTTTGATAATGCTGGACTGGCCTCTTCCTATCTCCAGATCCCAACATACCATTCTCTTTAATTGAAATTTCAAGAGATGGTACAAAGGATTGTTGGGCGTACGCATTAGCCGTTCCATTTAATCCTAGAGGACTCTTCCGAGTTCTTTTCTTGCGAGGAGATGGAGGCAAGATATCACCATTGCAATGAACAAGCGGAGATGGCGTTGCAGTTTGTGACTGGCTTAAAGGATCATTTTCATGAAGGGATTTCTTCACAAAAGCTCCAGTTTGATTGAAGACAATCCTTTCCCCGACTGGTGGAGGGGTTTTTGCCACATATGCATTCCTGAGGATGGACCGGATGAGCTTGTTATGCAACGGTATGCTTTCTCGACCAAGAATCAGGAAGCAGAGCTTGTTGAATTCAGTCTTGGTTACTTTCTGAGCCAGGAACCTGTTCAGGCAGCCGAAATACATCCGCGTTCGATCAGGACCAAGCTGCTTTGCTATCTGCAACTTGAGGTCACTGAGATTGATGCGCCCTTGCTGATGTGAGATATGTTGTGGCATCTCTTATTGCATCAAATTAGCCATACAAAAAGATTCAATTGATTGGCCAAATAAGGAAAATCTCTTCTGAGCCTTTATCCTCTTCTCTTACTCTTCTACTTATTCACTGGAATTTCGTTTTGCAACCTTGCACTTCAAACAGAAAAAGCTGAACTCAATCCCATAATGCCCTGCACGAAAAACCGAGAGCTTTGATCAGAAAACGCATTTGAATAATGGGAAATTGAAACCCTAAACAAGCGGGACCCAGTTGACGAACCACATTCAATTGGCCAACTCGATTAGATTCTCGTCACTGTTCAAGAATTCGATCGTATGAATTGTTTTCAGCCTTCGTAATGGGTGAATCAACTGCAGGAAGGCGGATCACGGCGGTGGTGAAGGCTGGGAATCAAGTAGGTATGGAATTGCAACGAGGGAGAAGCAAAGCTACAAGAATAGATGAGGGGAGGGTGGGCAACCGAATTTAAAGCCGGGCGAAACCTAATTTTTTGTGAGAAGAATCAGGTGAGGGAAAAATGGAGCTGACCTTGCCGAGTTCAAACACTGAGCGAATCAAAGGGCGGAGCCAACGCTACAAATTCGCCATTGCGTGGCACAGGTGCCCCTCTGCCCTCTTCTTACACGATATCTCAATCTTGCTTCTCCGCAGGACGATTTGGATTGCAGTTTCCGATCGCCGGCTGCGAAAAAATCGAAATAAATCTGGCCGTTCTCTCCCTCTCTCTTTCTCTCTCTAGCTCTATCTTCGCTCTCTTCTCCGATTTTGCTGCTTAATTATAAAAATTAAAATAAAAAACTAAAGATGTGAAAGGAAAAAAAAATTTTTGGAAGGGGCTTATTGATTTGAATTATTGGTGCAATGTAAATTAAATATTTATGTTTTGAAAATTCAGATATTTCATCAGCTGTATTTCAAATTTAATGTATGTAATTCTATTATTTGTTGTTGCCCGCTATTGTAGAGTGCCACTGCAACTTACTGTCGAGCATTATGAAAGAATTTTATATTGAATTTATTATATTTTAAAAATTTTTAAAAATGGAAATTTTTTTTACTCGCAGCTATACATCTATTTTTTTTATTATATTTTAGACGATGTATTATGTTTATTTTACACAATTATTTTACTATGCATTCTTTTTGCAGCAAATCATTATATTATATCACATATTTGTCCCTCGCACGAATAGACGTCGTGTTATCACCTTGCGTGTGTATTTTTTCTTTTTATCATAGAGATTTAGGGCAATATGGATATTGATTTTGGTTATTTCTGTTGTCATAAATACATTTTTGCAATCTATTTTACGAACAAAAGCCTTTTTGATGATTTCAACTTCTGATCAACTTATTCCAGACATATTTTATGTGGCGTCGCATCTTTTGTACATTCTTTTCACCATGTTTGATCGGGTGAACTTAAGAGTGGTTATCAAGATCAATAGCATAGTAAAGCAAAAAAAAAAAAAAACTATATATATATATATATATATATGGTTAGAGCAATCAACATATCTTGCTATATGATTAAGAGGATAAATATCAATTAATTATCAAGAAGATATACCATACGACTTACGAGGTTTGAAGAGGAAATACGCCAAATGTATCACATTTTTATGTTTTTGTTGGCAATTTTATCATATTGAGAAATCGACCAGAGAGTCATGATAAAATTGAAATTAGATTTGATGGAGTATTATTGGTTTATTTACACCATGGTATTGCATATAAGGCAAGGCAATTAAAAAGAAATCATTAATTGTAGAAGAATATATCCATGTTACATCTAAAGAGCAAAATCAAAGGTTTCCTAGACAAAGAGATTTAGATGGTGAAGAAATTGATATATTAGAGAAAATTGGTTTAAATAAACTAAAAAGTAATAAGGATAATCCTCTTACATCCAAATTGCCTGTGGAGTGGAGGTATGCCTATTGTCCTCCTAGGGAGTTTCTTATAGGGGATCCTTCTCAAGGTGTAAGAATGAGGAGGATGACTAGAGAGGAGATATATCACTTTACTTTTTTTTTATATCTCATCGTGAACCCTAAATAATAGATGAATATGTGTTATTGATGATTACAATGCAAGAGGAACTAAATCATATTATTAGGAATTATGTTTGGGAGTTAATGCTCAGACCTAGTGATTAGTATGTGATATGGACTAAATGAGTTCATTATAATCAGGTATATGACTCCAAGACCTTAGTAAGGAATAAATGTAAGTTAGTAACTCATGTTATAACCAAGTTGAAGGACTAGATTTTGAGAATCTTATTCTCCTATAGATAGATTATTATCCATTAGACTTCTGCTAGCATTTGCTTGTTATAAGGGTTTCACTTTGTATCAAAAAGATTTGAATATAATGTATTTGATTGTTGTCATAGAGGAGAATGTAAATTTTGGGCAACCACGTGGGTTTATATATCATTCTTATTGAAATCGTATATTTAAGCTAAAGATGACATTGTATAGATTAAAACATACTCTTAGAGTTTGGTATGAGAAACTAAGTGCATTTTTTTATTAGTTTGGATTTAAGAGATTGGAGATAATAAGATAGTAAGATAAGTATACTTTTTGTTTTGAAGTTATGAAGGTTTCATTGTCATTATTTCTTCATTACTACAAATAGTGAGCATGATGGGAGAGCTTGGATTACACGTGAAGTAGATGGAATTTATTTTTAATAAATAAAGTATATTCATGATTTGGACACTAAGTTCAATCTAAAAGGATTAAATCAATTGACACCCCACTATAAAGCTATATGAAATTACAAATGAAAAGTAAATGCAATCTTAATTCTATATAGAAATAATAAGATAATGACTTTCATCTACTACTAACGTACCACATATTATGTTTGCAGTAGGACTGTGTTCTAGATTTTAGGCATATCCTAAGAACTCTCATTTGATATTTTTAGAAAGGCTATTTGTATCTTATAGGAACACCAAACTTGTGATTTTGATATCCTACGAATGAGCTATCATTTAAACTTATAGGGTATTATAGTACTAAGTATATTTGATGTAGAATAGGTCAAAAGATCAACTAACATACTTGCCACTTTTTAGGACTTTCATTGGCATCTTGGTTAAATAGGAAGCAAAGCTCCATTGCCTTGTGTTGAATGCACTTTGTAGGAGGCCAATCTTCTCTCTCCTAAGGCATTCTTAGCACTAAGGACTTACTATCTTAGTGTAGAAAATTCCCTTATGACCTACCATGTGGAGGTATCCAAGAACATAGCTTTATCTAGATCTAAAGAGCTTATAAAACTCCTAAGATCCTTTTTAGTGGTCGTAAGAAGTAGATAAGCTTACCCAAATCTAAGCCCTAAAATTACTAAATACCCCTAGGGTGCCCTACTAGGCTTCCTTGATCTAAACTCCAAATTAAACCCTAGACTTTGTCTCAACTACTCTGAAGAGCTATTTATGAAATATTTTGACCATCCTCATACCCTTGCTTAACCCTTTTGACCAAATAAGAGTAAAATTACCAATTTACCCCTATGGACCTACCTTGGTTGACATAGGGTCAAATCATGAATTTTGGATTTTATTGATTCTAAATAACTCTAAGACTCTTTTGGAGTCATGTTTGACCCCTAGTCAAATGCTTTGACTAGAAAAAGTCTAAAATTCTCCTAAGCTTAACCCAATGACCTAAACCTAATTAGCAAACCTTGACTTTGGTTTTAATAAATCCAAAATCATCTATAAAGTGAATGTTAACCCTTATTCAACCTCTTTGACCAAAGTCAACTATGGTTGGCCAAAATTACAAAAATGCCCCTACACCCTTACTTATTGGAGTCATTTGGAAAATTTTGATCATTGGACCAAGGTTTAGATTTTGAACGATTTAAATATGTCCAAACCTTTCCTAGATTCATCCCTAGCCCATGATCAACCCATGTTGACCATGGTTAGGTTAAAAATACTAAAGTTCCCTTAGGGATCCTATTTTAGGTTATTGGGGCAAGTTTCTTTCATTTGGATTTAGGATTACATCCAAATATCTTAGAACCATGCAAGGATCCCCTAGCAATCCATGCTTAAACTTAGTTGAACATAGTTAGGTCAAATTACTCAAATACCCTTAATAGACAAAACCTAACTTTCCTATGTTATAACCTATTCAAACTTCAATGAAACCTCTCCAAACTCTAGCCAAGGGCTCTTAAGACTCTAGCCTAGACACCACAAATGATTCTATCCATTTGGGATATCTCAAATGAATTAAATTGGTTGACCAAAGATGGCTCAACATACCCAAAACTCAATTCAGTGCAATATTGTGAAAATTGGTTCAACTCAATGCCTCTCTAGACTCTTAGAATAATCCAAAACTTTTCAAACTATGCTAAACAGCTAGCATGGCCAGGGTGGCAAGAAATACCCATGACTGAGATCACCATATGCAACCTAAGATTAGAATGACCATGCTAGCTAACATTTAACCCTGAGAATGGCCTAGGATAGTTGTAGGCATCTAATTGGTTCCCCCATAATTGACATTGCTAGAAAGGGTCATGGGAATGGTCGGAATCCCGTTCAATTGTACTTTGATTTTCTATAAATAGAGCTCAGTTATGTGAAAACTGGTGCACGTAGTTTGATTCCCCAAACTTCTCATAGTGAGTGTGAGTGATCCAAGGTCTTCCTCAACTTCTAGAGCCCCTATGTGTGTGGATTGGATGAGCTCCAGTGAGTTTTCTTTGATCAAAACATAATCCATTAATCCAGTGCACATAAGCCTTTACTATCTTCAGTAAGATTGTTCACTAGGTCTAATAAACTTGAAGCATCATTTAATTTTGACTAATGTCATATGGCTCAAGTATATGATAATTTAAAACTTGAATTTTATGAGGTCTAGGACATTGTGACGATAGTTTGCAATCCAACAGGATATGCCATGGGATTGCAAACACCTACTGTCTTGATCCACCGATATCAATTTGAAGAAGATTCATCCATGGTCAATTTTGGATCAGGGATTTAAAAATGAGTGGCCTCTATTCGATGGCTAGAGATATAAGACAAAATCATAGCCATCCATTTCATATGAATATAACAAATGGCCATGATTTTATTGAATCATAGTTCTGAGCAAATCCCCGTGGTTTTGATTGGATTGATATGTCATTCGTTCAAAGATCAGACAACTATGATTGATCCTATATGTCATGTGGACTCTCTCACTGTTGACACAAGCCAATCAAAGGGCGCCATGTTTTAAGTGTTCGCTAACTCAACCATGATTAATTAAATATATATATTAATTTAATTAATTTAAAAGCATGTCAATTTTCAAAAACTCATATCTAATTTATTTTACATCCAAAAATTATGAATGTACCTTCTATGGATTTAGTAAAGAATATAAAAAAGTATATAAAAAAAAATCCTCAAGTTTCTAATTGATATTATGCATGATTTTATTTAAATGATGTAGTGGGTTAATTAATAAATCAACCTCTCTAAAGAACTATAATGAGCCCCAAATTCATTTGGAACATTCTTTAATGAGCTCCAAATGTCTCTAATTTCTCTCAAACAAGTATGGGGTTTCCATAGACCTTCGTTAATTTCTCAAAACTTTAGGCCTTAAATGGCCTAAACTTTGAAAATTAATCTCGATGAATCATAGAGTTAAATGATTTGGAATTTAAAACATGAACTCCTCTTATTATTTGGACTAGAGAAATATTTTGTTGGAACCTTAGTATATTGTTTAAAACCTTTGATAAAACATTGAAT